TCAGTTGTGGTATATCGTGATATATATCGTTATCGTGATATAAAATAATCCATATCGTGATATAGTTTTTTTTCCATATCGCCCAGCCCTACTGCAGTATCTATACTTCTACTTAAGTAACATATGTGTGTACTTTTCACACCACCGGTTACTTGACACCTCTGCATTTAATAAACATCTATTACAAACAGCAAAAGTCATCTCTAAGCACATTCTATAGCTGCAAAGGGTAGTAACTTACTCTGATGAACATGGAGAGCTTGAACAAAGCAGACATGGAGTTCATCCTGTCAAAGACGAGAACATAGCATGTCATTTAGTGGAACAGCTGTTCACAAATACCTGGATGCTTGTTTTGCTTTGTAAAGCGACACAAACGCTCCAATGAAGAAGATATTTCAGCTTTACTTACAGAAATGAAGATGGCCCGAACCATGAAGAGACGGGCTCCATGGATTTCCATTTCTGTTCATCCACAAAGCTGAGGAAATCATCTTTAGTACGAGCTCCCTGGTACTTCCGAAAAACGCCATCTTTGCAGCTGAAACATAAAATGCACAAAGATTAAATCTCATGACTGATAAAAATTCATATTTTATATTTTTACCAATCATGTTTCTGCTGTGCAGGATTAGCAACTGCTTTGACACAACAGTAACAGGAAATGTATTTTTAGCCTCTTCAACTTGTTTCAGTATGAGCCAATGATTAAAAATAATGTCCACCATCTTTGTTTAACTTCTTAAAAAATTAATCACAATTCATATTCCTGAAAGAAAGTGGAAATGTCATTGATTGAAAGATTATTAACCAATATGTGTAAGAATACACAGATTATTTGGTAAATAACACTAAACTGAAACACATAATTCACTCAGATGCAACAACAAACCATGCTTAAAGTTTTCATCTCAACAGACTGTTTAGTGGAAAGAAAAAAAAAACAAACCAACAAACGAGGAAGTGATGAAAACCACAGAATATGCAGATACGTACTGATAGATTGTAGGAAGTGAAGTTATGATGAATCGCCCGCTCAGACCTTAGAGGAAAGAAACCAACGTCAGTCAGCAGAAAGGAAAAACGTGACTTCTTACCCAACACACCTTAATTTGAAGCATCCGTGTCTTAACATGCATCTGTCTAGGCATTTGAAATGAAAGCTGTGAGAATCCATCAGCTGGTAGTAGAAGCTATGGGACGAAATTCAGGTTTCTTAAAGCTGCTAAAACGGCATCATGATGACTCAGCACTGAGGAAAAATGTCTTAAATGCATCGGAAGTGTTAACGTGGTTTTAGCAAATGTTGGGCATTATTCATAACAATAGTATTTCAGAATCTCACTGTCCTGATCTGGCTATTTTCTTTACATGCGGCGCCTTGGAAAAAGATACTTGTACCTCTTAAACACCTTCAGAATATGTCACAATAACACCAACAAGAGGATGATGGATGTTCTAGGCATTTGTTTGCAGCCTGCTTTACTCCAATACCCAAAAAGTTAATTAATTACCTTTAGTTATTAGCTCATGTAAAGGCACCAAGGTTTTTTTTAACAATTTGCCAAAACACACAGCTTATTGTAGCACCATCTAACTTAGCCATCTACAGATCTAATCTTTGAATTCCACTGAACTCCATTTTTTGGAAACATCTGTGCACACCTGACTCTAAAAATGGTTCATAACATGGTCATGGCTGAACTTATTAAAATGCAAGAAAGTACGATAACAGCAGAGCGGCTCTCGAGGACTGGAGATGCTAACCCTTCTAATCAAATATCTGCTAAGATTCAAACACCCCCAATGTGCCTTCCTCATGGTGACACATGGAGGAGGCAGCATCATAATATGGGCAAGCTTTTCTTCTTCACAGAAAAAAAAACTTAGGTTCACTTTTCAGGACAACCCAAAACATGCAGTCAGAGCTGCAATAAAAAAGTTCAAAGTATATTCATATGAGTGAATCCAGCCCTAAAGCTAAAACAATTATCAGTAAACACAGGAAATTAGGTGAAGACTAGTGTTGCACCGATACCAGTATACAGCACTAAAACGGTGGCATTGGTACCAACAAATAGGGCTCCGATACCATTTTGAGAGCCTAAAGTTAATTCAACTAATGTCACCCACTCGAGG